CTTAAGACTGGAAATGGTTACCTGCAGCAATGAAGACAAACGCTGTTGTTCCCAATGGCATTAGAAGAAGACTCTCCAGTCAGTTTAGGAAATTCATATGAGGAGTGGTGAATGGGCACAGTAGAAGAATGCTTCTTGTTTTCATTTTGGTAGTTGAGGTGAAATCTCTGGGGGTGACCCTAACTGAGACTCCTAGCAGCTGGAGATATGGATTCTGAAGTCATCTCTTCCTGTAGCCAGGCAGGACTTCCAGTGGAGGAAGGAAGATTCCAACCCACCCATAAAACCTTTGACCCAAACTTTATCCTGCATACAAAAAATGTGGGATAAAGATGGAGCTGAGATTGAGGGAATGTCAAACCAATGAGCTGCCTGACCTGAGACACACCCATGGCAGAGTGCCAACCCCTGACACTATTATTGACACTCTGCTATGCTTGCAGACAGGAGACTAACATAACTGTCTTCTGAGAGGCTTCATCCAACAGCTGATGGAAACAGATGCAGAGACCCACAGCCAAATAATAGACTGAACTCAGAGAGTTTTGAGAAAGAGTTGGAGGAAGGATTGAGGGATTCAGAGGGGTCAAAGACAGTGTGGGACCCCTAATAATGGGAGTAGGGGCTGGCTACAATTCTGTTCCCTGTCTTTGTATCTCTTTCTCCTAGCTGGGCAACCTTCTCTGGCCTCAGTAGGAGAGGATGTGCTTCGTCCTGCTGTGACTGGAGGTGCCAGGATGGCACCCTCTCTTCTCAGCCTCCCTCTCTTCTCGGAAAAGGAGACAAGGAGAGACTAGGGCACCGGTATCAGGTTTTAATATGATTAAAGGAAAAAAGAAAGAAAGAAAGAAAGAAAGAAAGAAAGAAAGAAAGAAAGAAAGGAGGTTTGCTTTACCCTAGCATGTGGGTCACACCCTAGCGACATGGTCTGTTTATGCTGCTCTTTCTAGACTGGATTAGAGGTCGGAAATCCTGAGCATTTGGCTGACGAATTGCTCGGGCTCCCATTACATTGTAGGGGCTCACCTGCTTCCTCTTGAGAGTTGATGTAGGGTTGCCTGACAGTGCACTCTAGAGTCGGTGTCTCAAGAAAGCCTTGGTGCCTTTCATACTGGTAAGGAGCAATGGCTTAAAGAACAGTCAACATTTTCAAAAGTGTATTTGTTGGACACTGCGGCTGAATCTAGCTCCACTGCTGTTGTCCTTCCTACCACTCTGACCTGGAGGACAGCATGGGTTCCATGCTGAAAAAAAAAAAAAGTAGTAAGTAAAGAGACCCTATCTCTTGTCGTAAGACATGAGTAGATTGCGCTTGAACTGTAGACACCTTGCAAAGAGCCGCAGACTGGGCTGTTAGAGAGCTTCGCTCTTGTAGAATATTCTCCTTCAGTTGCCAATGCTTCATACAGCCTGATTTCATCTGTTAATGAGTAGTTAGGGGTAATGTGATTCTGTAATTTTTTTTTTTTAACAATGCTGGCTTTTTCATGTCATGTCACTTGTGACCTTTTAAACATCGTCTCTAATAATTATGTTTATGGAGTTTTATATTCATTTTACTAATAGGTACTACCCACGAAAATAGAAAAAAAAATACTCAGTTTTCACCTTTGATATTCATATCTGCTAAAAGAGCAAGTGGTTTCCAGTGTCCCCTTTATAAGATCATGCTAGGTGAATGAATTTTAAGAATATGGAATGGTAGAGTAATGCAAATACTTTCTTTTAATTCTGTAGGGAAATGCAATTGATGTAAAATCCAAAACTGATGTATTCTCTAGAGAATAATTATGTTAAGATATTTTAACCCTCAGGAAAAGATCAAACACCAGGCATGAAGCTTCTACCTCTTAATCTGTAAGACTGAAAACCTAATTGTGAGTGCTTCTATTCCCAGTATTCTGACAGAGTTTGAATATGAGTGCCAAAGTAAGTATTAACTGAACCAGAGGGTTAAACATGCTAATTAAATTACCTTCTTAATAGAGAATAGATTGAAGAATAGATTGAAGCTCACTGTATGCCTTTTCAACTCTGGGCACGCTTTGGATTTCCCAAGCATAGTAATATCTGGAGAGCGATCTGCTGCAAAGGGTTGTACGTGGAGGACTGGCACAAGTTTGCTAGACACGCAGCCCTGCTTTGAAGGTGATGTTTAAGCTGTCCTTCACTTGCTTGGCAACATGCTGAGTCCTTTGTTGGCAATTCCAAAGACCTCAGAGCTAGTAATAAAGTAGTGTCCAACTAAAACACCTGATGTCAGGTTTATAGGGTAGGTCATAGCCTTCTTCTAGGTCGCTGGATGCTGAACACATCAAAGGTAGTTTGGAGTTACAACAAATAAGAAAAATCAAACAAGGAATAATACAAGCACAGAGATGCCAAATTTTCCCCAGGCAGAAACATCCAGGCATTCTCCTAAGCTCCTCTCCTTCCAGACCAACAGCATTCCATCTTCTCTGTCCCATATACATGTTTTTTTTATTGTGATGTTTTCTGAAGTATAATAGATCCTGTAATAAGCCTGTACAGGGTCTCATATTGAAGAGTGATATTTCTGGAATCAGAATAGAACTGGTGGCTGGGATAATTTTAAAGTGGTGACCTGTAAGGTCGTATTCATCTTGAAAGCTTTAAGTGAAATAAAATAAAGTAATATTAACCTGAAGAACAACAAACTCAGAGATAACCAAGAAAGAGAAAAGTCACATGGGCAGACTCACAATCCATAAAGAAGACAACTGTGTCTTTCTGACCTAAAGGTGTTGTTTTTCTTATGAATATCATTGTAATATCTTCTCACTTACCAGTTCTGAATTTTTGTTTATTCCTTTAATGTTTTTCAGTCCTAGAGATGGAACCCAGGGCTTGGTCATGTTATATGAACGCTCAGCTGTTGAGGTCATGCCTAGCCCTCTTTTGTTTTTAATCATTACCATAGATTTTGCTTGTTTTCTTTGTAATGTTGTCTAGTTTGAAAAAGAAAGTATTAAAGATATTATCTTCCAACACCACAGGAAGGCTATAGAACACCAAGAAAAAGGCACAATGGATCCGGAGTTTGGTAGCCACTCAAGATTTGCGTGTCACTTGAAGCTAAGGCATGTTTTCCCCTCTGGGAAATTACCCAAGCTTCTCTGTGATGGAGTGACCATAACACTTGTATTCAAACTCCATGGACTTCTCATTCCTGTACCATCCTGCAAGGTGGGGTTTGTAGCAAAGATCTGGACTGAGCCTGGCCTTCCCTTCAGGGAGTGAGGAAGACAATAGTGACACATTTCAGAAGACACATGGAATAAACAGATGAGCCACACTTGGACAGGTCCAGATGTTGACTGCCAGAGGATCATAGCTGACATGATGGTTCTCATGCCAAGTGAGCTGCCATCCTGAACATGCACTTTTGTTTGCCTAACAGTTCAGAGCTTAGAGCAATTGTATATGAAATATATATATATATATATATATATATATATATATATATATATATATATATATATATATTGTTTCCATTTAATTTTGAACAAAGTGACAGTTCCTATTTAGTTTCTTCAGAGCTGTGTAGCTAGATGAAAGACTTGGATTAAAATAAAAGTCATTTTTCTTTTACCTCATTCCTCTATAGTACAGGCTAGAATTATATAAATGATCCAGGTAAAACAAAGTTCCTACTCCCTCTAAGAGAAAATAAAAAGATGAAAAGGAGTAGATTCCATATTAAAATGTCTCTGATCCAGTGTAGCATTCTGCAACCTATCAGAACATTCTGATGTCTCTTCATTAACCTATTTCAACAAGTTCTATGTGATACAGTATGGTAAAAATCAGTACTATAAGACATATGTAAATGAAATATGGACACTGTCTAGTTGCACAAAATCATATACCCTTGATTAAGTTTGTCCTGAAGAGAATTCTAGGCACAGTGAGCATTTCAAGACATCATGCATTATATCTCATCTGACCTGTGGGAAGCATCCATCAGTCATGAGTACCAAAAGACCATCCAGACTGTGTGTCATCACATGAGATCCTGGACTTGACAAGGCCGGCATACATTCCCCTTCCTGACAGGCTGAGCACCAGCCAGTGTCTTTAGACAAGCCTGCCCATGACCCTAGATAACCACAACCTTCCCAGTCTGGTTTCCCCCACAGAATGACTCACTGAGCAGCTCTGTTTTCTGTCCTTGGTAGTCGGAAACCTGTGAATCCAAGAAGATGAGTTCAAATTCCCACTTTGCCACAATCCATAGTCAGGTTTAGTTCATGTAATTTGGCGTAGATAATTTTCTCAATTCATAAGGAAATTTGACACACCATTCTTAAAAAAAAAAAAAAAAAAAAAAAACAGCTTTTTGGTATGTCAGCTGACTTCGGATTTCTCAAAAAAAATTTATTCATTTTCCTGCACACCTGCTGAAGCATTGGGAAATAAAACATTGGAATTAAACTGTACCTAAATGTGTAGAGAGACAATGTAATAAAAAAATGGTTCTTTTTTTTATTTTTCTGAGCACAATTAAGACATAACTACTATACCAGAAAAAACTTGGCCTTCTCACGATCGTTTTCCACACTTAATTCCTTACGGTTCATGTTCATTGACATTCTTATATAAAAATGTAATAACTGATAAGACATACATTAGAGAAAAGTATACTATAATGTTGAATCATGCCATGAAAAGCATATTTATTAAGATAGACTATTTAAAATTTCATTTAGCAAACGCAGTGTTCAAGTCAGCATGCTCTTGATGCTACCAGTGTGATAACTTCCCAACCATCTTGCTCGCCAATCAAGGGTACTTCTGTGCAAATTCCTGTCGGCAAAGGGGTCCAATGTGTTAGCCATGAGTGCCGCTCCATAGCGGATGGTTTGACGCAGGTAGTTAACCATGGGGTCGTTATGGCTTCTCTGTGCCCTGGCACTTTTGTTTCCCTCTAGCTGATAATGAACACACCAAACGTGCTTTCCTGCTTCCTGTTATTTCAGATCAGCCTTTGGTGAAATCTGACAGAAGATGTTCCCACAGTCAGCTCTCTGGAAGTGCTTACCACGGGGGATCCTCATTGCCTCCATCTTGGCGGTCAGCTGGGGCCAGTACGATGATGGTAAGTCTGCCTTTGCTCTGATCTCTGTAGTTTGAAGAGGCCTCCCTCCCAGCAATGGCTATCGATTTGTAGTTATTTTCAAAGGTTAGAAGCTCTTTGTAGGAACTTATGTGGACGGGCTTACAAAAGTGGTTGTAGATACATTTGATTCTATAAACGTGGCAGTGTGTAATAAGTCCAACCTAAAAATCTCCATTTGAATCCTTACTGAGGAAGGGCTAAACTGCTTTGAAAACTATTAAATTCTACTAATACCTTTGAATGAACACAAATAGTAGTCTCTAATAAAGCCAGCAATACGAGGCACAGCACAAGTCAAAAATCTGTAAAAGGGACAATAGGAAAAGCCAGAAGTGGTTTAAGGGCAACTGCCACCACTGTCCATTGCTTTACTAGATTCCTTGTGGTTTTGTTTGGGAAGAGAAAAATGTCAAAGTCTTGGTAATTGACTTCTTAAGTCATTCCAGAGAAGCAAATTAGTTTACTTAAAAAAAAAAAAATCACCTCAGTATCTTTCAGAAGATTCATTACATTAGGTCTGCAGGGACCTAAATGTGCTTGTGCTGGTTTTTGAGTATCAAAGTGATCTGCTTTAAATACCACACTGTGAGAATTAGGATATGCATGTGAAAATACGTATGTGTAGCATGTTCGTATATAATGCATGTATTTATCTATGTTATACCTACGCTCATGTGTGCTAGTGAAAAGAGGAAAAATGGTCAAATTTCCTCTTGGGGATTTTACTCCCTGAGTATGTGTTTCTTCCTATAACTTCCAGTTGCTTTGGCTCAATGTTTATTGAGCAGAGAGGAAACAGACACTCCATAGCAGCCTCTTCCCTCTTGACTCGTTATCTGGTCGTTCTCAGTAGTAACTAGGAGTGTGAAATTCTTTTGTACTCCACTTAGCTAAACTGACACGCCTGGAGATGAATGAGTTAGTTTGATATTCTCAAAAACGTGTTCAAGTTGTTCACACACTGCGTTACCCTTGGCCCTGAGTGTTTGCCGAGGTGAATATCTTTTGGGATTGCAGAACAATCTATAATATTTATTCATAAAATGAGAAGATTTGCCCTGAAGTGGTCCCGCTAATTAGCACCCTGTTTATGTCAAGCACATCTAAATTAAATGTTCACACTTTCCTTTTAATGGAAAATTTAAATACCCGAGCAAAAATAATGAATTTTTTAAAGTAGTAATAAGTAAACAGCTGCTTGGAATTTAAAAAATACAATTTAGGAGACATTTAAGTATATTGTAGGAACACATTTTAATTGCGCTCTCGGCAACAAATCAGTGTCCCCATATTTATTTCATAAGACATCCTATTCTTATTCATATTCAACAGTCACATTGAGCAGGCATTCGCAAAATATGCATTTTAGAAAGGTAATTCCTGTAATCAGATGAAGCCACCCATGTTTAAATCATAATGCTATCAGTGGATTTCACTCCTAAGCTCATCAGAGCTTTGCTCTTTCCTCAATGGACTTGTTCAGTCTCTACTCTAAGATTATGTAGCCACTGTTGATTATTGTGTGGTTCAATCCTTGAGGAGAATGGAACATTACACCTTTCTATTCTGGGCAATGGCAAGGCTAACCCTTAAAGGCTTCAGGTCAGCTGCCCTACTCAGCCCTCCCTCTCTCCCACCTCACAGCCTCCCCATTCACTCCTAGAGCTGAGTGAATTGACTTTAGGAAGAGTCACATGGTTTGTCATGGAAGAATGCGGGTCCTTGGGCTCTGCAGTAGTTTGACAGTGTTTTACAGAATGTATGCTGCTGTATTTGTGTCTCAGTGTTCCCTCAGTGTTTACGCTCCAGGAAAATTCTCATCCCTCACTGTGCTTCCAGCCAGGCTGTTCACGCCTTCGATTCCTCACTCAATTCAAGAATCTTTGACCCCTTTGGTTTTTCTGAGTTATATGTGACTAAAACAGGATCCCTTATCTTTTCCATGCAGAGTCGTGTATTACCTATGTATGACATCAGTAGTGAGGGAAAACACACAGAATCATTTCACTGACCATGTGATATGGGTACATAGAGGAAATGTTTATCCAGGAGTCTATGTGCAGATGTAAGGGCAAGGGTCAAGCAAGGCAACAGTGACATCGTAGAAGAATAAGAGAAAAAAATTAAATTCAAAGATTTCTTTTGCCCTTTATTATTGGGTTGTCAAATGAAGACATTACAATAGCTGACTGTAGATTTATATGCAGGAAGAGCTTCAGATAAGGTTGAAGGAGAACAATTTCTCAACTTTTATTAATTAATTTATTATTAATTTATCAACAGACAGGTAAGTAAGTAAGTAAGTAAGTAAGTAAATAAATAAATAAATAAATAAATAAATAAATAAATAAATAAAAGATGATAAATTTTCTCTAGAGTCTCCAGAATAAATTATCTTCAGCTGGCAGGATCACGCCCATGCCAGAGCACTCATGAGGCAACAGTCAGAAGCAACCCTACATTCCACACCTGGGATTAAGACAAAAACACATTTACATAACATAACTGGGTTTTTTTTAAGACACCAAAATCTCACTAAGGAACAAAACTTAATTGTAACCTTACTTGTCTTGGAATCATCCAAGACTCGGGTATCACATGCTAGTCTGACCCTTCTTAGCTAGCTCTCATTCAGCCAGTGTGTATATCTTACCACCACTTTACAAATTCTCTTAAGCTCTACAATTCGGTTTTTCTCACAACTCTAGTGAAACTTCATTTCCTAAAACTTTCAGTGGCTCCCATGTCGGACAAATTCTGTAATTCTCTAGCATTTCAGTAAGTAGGGTTATTGATCCACTGTACTGATGACTTTATTGCCCTCAGGGTTCTTTGCATTGACCCTTCCTGAGTATCTGCTATTAGCTTTCTGTGGCATCTTTTCCTAAACACTCTACCTGTACCTTCTCTCCTCTCCAATTTGGAGAGCATCCCATTTTGTTTATAATTCTCTAAATAGTCCTATATCATAATCAATAACTCAGATATCTTACTATTGAATAAGGTCCTGTCCTTGGCCATTATCTTCTCCTCTTTTACTTCCCTTACTCTGTGGATCTGCTACATATGCATTCAACTGTTCTCTGCTCTGCCTGAGAGAGGCTCTACAAGAACTCATATTTAGTTAACATTTGCCTGAGTGTCATACTCTGGGAAACAAAGGAGTGCACTTCATCAAGTCTAGGAGAATAAGCACGAATGACATGTGATTTAGATACTAATAGAAGTTGGAATGGTATATATGTGTGTGTATGTGTGTGTGTTTATATGTGTGTGCATATGTTGTTAGTCCTAGGAGAGCAATAGGTGTGCCACTGTCTAAAACATTTTTTAATTCACACTGTTAATCAAGATTCTTAGTGGTAGATTGAAAAAGAAAGCAGATTTTGCCACCTTCCCGTGAAGTTACAGCCTTGATACAGGACGGAGGGAGAACTGACAAACAAAAGGCCACCAATGTTGCAGACAGTGGCTTACACAGTAGACAGTTATTTCATTTTTTTTCCCAGTTGTGGAGAGCAGAATTATATACAGTCAGCATGCGGCATGGTTGGCTTTCTCTGAGGACTCCCCTCTTTGGCTTGCAGTAAGCCACCTTCTTCTACCTTTTCTACTGCCCATCCCTGAATGTTACTATCTCTCTGTGTGTGTCTGTATCTCTCTGTTATAATATAGTTGTAAGAATAGCTGTGAAGTGGGCTTAAGCTCCACTGTGAGAGTCTCTTCAAAGACTCGGCATCCTGGGAACAGAATTCATTTTCATGTGTGATGGCTAGTTCTAATTGTCAAATTGACACATGTGGAAAAGACTCCCAATAAGGATTTGTTCAGGCTGAGGTATCCTAGGGCCACATCCATGGGGAATGTCTTGATTGTATTACTTTATATATGAAGACCCAGCCTTAAAATGAGGGCAGCCATTTCCTGGTTTTAGGTCCTAGATTGATGTCTTCTATGTATATTTGTTTATTTTTGTGTATGTATATGTGTGTATATGTAAAAGAAAAGTTAGCTAAGCTGTAGACATGTGTGCATTCCTTCTTCCTCTGTTCTTCTGTTCTTGATTATGGATGTAAGGAGGTGATACAAATAGCTCATTCAATCCTGATTTCTTGACATCCTGGCAATGATAGACTCTAAACAGAAATTGTTAGCTAAAGTAAACCCATTGGCGCTTTGTTTGGTTTTTGTCAGGGTATTTCATTAAGGCAATAGAACAGAAACTGGGACCCAGTACAATGAGGTAGAAGTGCATTTGAGTAGGTTTTAGTTAGGGAGTCTTGGGCCACATCCCCTTAAAAATAGGAGAGAGCTGTTAAAGTTGTCTATGCCCCAAGGCACTGAGAAATTACTGTTATTTGGATACAAAATCTGGGACTCCAGTTAGGGCATGATCACCGATGAAAAAGCCTGGAAGACAGAACATGTGAACCCTCTCAGAAAAGAGAAGAGAAATAGAGGTCCTGAGGGAAGTAGGTGTGAGGAAGAGAAAGGGACCTTTCTTTGCTTTAGGGCACATTGATGGAAGAGGATGATGAAGGGCTCCCTCAAGCAAAATGCTCAGGAATTACTCTTCCATTTTTCTCCCAACATTCACTCCCCCTTCCCAGGAATTCTGGCTCCTAGGTCCTTTGGTGGTTGTCTCATTTGGGCTTGAAATGAGTATGGGATGTCCATTGCTGGCTATTTAAATCGTGTACCCCTCATCATATCTGTTGTTCAGTGTGCTCCTTTGGAATAAATAAATAAATAAACAAAATCAGAACCTTTGTTATATATCCTGTAATAAGCAGTGTGCTTAGTAAATATTCAGTTTTTCTCTGAAAAACTATTGAAGCATCGAGCTGTTTGCAAGGATGTTAGACTATCAGTGGGTAGTAAATAAACTGGGAGCAGGAATAATCCAGTGCCCTCGCCATAGTACACAACGGCCTTTTGCAGTCCTCAAATCTCTCCCACAGTAGCAACTAAGAAGGCCA